AAATCTTTATTTTAAAATCTGGACAAAGTAATATATATTATTCTACTTAACTGCTTATTCAGAAAATGTTTATTCTTTTTAAAAGTTGTTGTTTCAATTTGTCATTGTAATTCTTTGCGAAGAAGCCGTTCGAGCCCTGTTTTAATTCGTGAATTATTTCAGCATGAGATTCTAGCTGTTATTTTATGTCTTCAATTTCTATAAATTGATTTTTCATTGACTTGGGGAGACTGAGATTCCATCTTTGTACGACTAATTTCTTCTCATTTATCTTCAATTTGCATATAATTTCAAGAATTTTATATGATTTTAATGAATCGGGACACATAGCTTTTAATTGAATGGTATAAATTTTAATTCAATCACTATTGTCGATTAGGTCATTGTACTACTCGCATGTCAAATCTTAAAGGCTTGGCTCCCATGGGGTTCAGCTAGTGTGGGTTCGGTCAAATTTTCACATGTGTAGAATGATGTGGAGTGCGGGCTTAGATTATCTTGTTGTTTAGAACCTTGTTGAAAGAGTCATAACATAGATCAACCTTCCTATTTGTGTGATCAACAGGGTTTTGACAGGGCATAATCAATATATTTCTTACTCGAGTTGTCCACGGAAAGAAGCCATTGAACATGATGAACGATATTGGAAGTTGTAGATTGACCGAGATTGTGACAAGAGGTAAGATCGATAAATGATGCTAACATCATTCCCCATTCAATATAAGTGCCTCATGAAATTTTCACTAGGAACAAACTATGCTGATAAGGTTTGGTGCGCAGTCCTCCCCATCACAGGTATGTCACCTACTTCTAGGAAGGCCTTGGCTCTACGATTGACGCGAAAATATATTGGTTTTGAAACTCATATTCCTTCATGTTCCAAAAGTGAAAGATTCTGCTAATTGTAGAATTTAGATCACCATAGGAAACCAGTTCACAAGAAGAGAACAACTTTGTTATAACACCTCCTAGATTTGTTGGGAAGTGCCAGAAAGCTCAATACTCTTTTTCCTTATTGGGTGTGTGATAAAGGAGTATGATGGAGAAATGATAGTAGCTCTTAATTCCCTCCATGAATTTTAGGATCTGCTTCTTGAAGATTTACCCCAATAGATGCCGCCAATGCGTGATATACAACACGCTATTGATCTCAAACCTGGATCCGCACTCCCGAATCTCCCACATTAGCATCCAAAAATAACGAGTTAGGCACAACATGGTGGATAAGTGAGTTGTAGTTATCAATTTTTATGAAATGTTTAGCTAACAGGGTGTTTGACACCCATTTTCATGGAAAAATGAATTTTAGAATGGTAGATTGATAGAAAATGTGTGAACGAAAATTAAGAAAAGTTTTTTTATTTACGTGTAATATTATTTTAATGAAAAATATATAATTGAAAAGAAAAGAGAGAAATGCATTTTAAAAAATATGGGAATCAAACAAGGCCGACATTGACCTTTAAATATAAGGAGATTATAACGAAAAGCAAACAGGTGGTTAGGCTAACAAATTTTTCGTGGGGCCATAATTTAATTTTGCTGGCCAATATATGTAAGTTTTGTCGAAATGTCACAAAATTCCATGTTTAAGTAAATTTTTGCTTTCAAACATAATTCGATTTTTTTTAATTTACAGTTAAAAAATATTTGTTTGTGAGATTTTACTATCCGACATCATTTTATTTAGTCTCTTAGATGCTCATAACCATCAAGTTGGTTCATTTCATTCCTCTATATGTGTGACAACATTGATTAATGTAATTCTAAATTTTTTATTTCAAAAAAAAAATAGAATGACTAACTTATTTGTTTTTAACTATAACAAATAAAAGTGTTCATATTAAAATCTGCTAAACTATTGTATAATATGTCCTTATTTACAGAATACGTGTCTGGAAAATTATGAGTCCGTGAAATGTATTATTAAAATTAATTATTCATCTTAATTTAGATTAAAAATTTAATTTTAATTTCTACAAAGTATGGGCATATTGGTTGAATTCATTGAAGATAAAATTAGAATAAGGAGGGTGTCCTCAATCTAGAGTTTGATAGATTTTAAAACTCCATATAAATTGAAGTATTCTCAATTCAGATTTAAATATAATTCATTAAAATATAAGTGTCTCAATCTAGATTTTTAAAAATACTTATAAATTTAGGTGTCCTCAACATAGATTTTAATAGGTAATTTTGAAATTTAAATGTCCTCAATAACTAGTTGATTTTAAAAGATTTCATTAAATAGATAGATTTTGAAGGATTTCAAAGTAAAAATATAAGTAAAAAGAATTAGTAACAATTTTAACCCAAACATAAAAATTTCACAACATTTCTTATCTCTCTCTATATTTGCTGTCCTCTCTCTCTCTCCCCCCTCCATCTTGAACAATATTTTCTTCTTCTTTCTATCTCACATTTCTCTACTGTGAAAAGATCGTGTATGAGAACTTTTCAATTGATAATAATTTATGAAAGATTGAACTGAAGAATTTGACTATTTTGACGTCTATTTATTGCACCTAAAATGTGGAAATCAAAATCATAGTCCCAACTCTTAGCTCATGGATGAGAATTGAACAATATAGTCCTTAACTAACCAAGAAAAAATTTACGCACTCAATTCAGTAGCCTAAACTAGAGTTCTATACCAATGAAGCAATTATTACATAACCAGACAGGGGCACCACAAGCAATTGAACAGTAATTTTCTAGCTCATTCGAAGACCCGAATAACGTCTAATTATCATTATCACTTTTTTTTTTTCAACTGAAGAATTTGACTATTTTGACGTCTATTTATTGCACCTAAAATGTGGAAATCAAAATCATAGTCCCAACTCTTAGCTCATAGATGAGAATTGAACAATATAGTCCTTAACTAACCAAGAAAAAATTTACGCGCTCAATTCAGTAGCCTAAACTAGAGTTCTATACCAATGAAGCAATTATTACATAACCAGACAGGGGCACCACAAGCAATTGAACAGTAATTTTCTAGCTCATTCGAAAACCCGAATAACGTCTAATTATCATTATCACTTTTTTTTTTCCTCTCTCTTTTTAAGCAAAGCCAAATATGCTCATAATCAAATTCAAAAAAAGCTACAACGGCTAGCCAAACAGTACGTAAGAAACTAATAAAAAAAAGTTCTTTTTCCCTTTTTATCAGAACTGCGTGGCTTTCTGAAATTGAAACAAATCGACTTCGCCAAAAGAGAGTAAAATGCTAGTCGACGGACGACCATATTATCGATTTGTAATAAGGGCAAACAAATGAAAGCAACAATAACGATTAATTTTAGGGCAATAATAAATAACCTAAAAGAGATGTAACTGATTGAAAGAAAAAGAAATAATGGAACTCACATGGTTGAATATTGCAAAAGATGCAGCAAAATCACCTGATGAAAACAATTTTTCGATAGATCTTCCAATAATCAGTCCGAGGAGCATGACACTAAAACCTTGAAATTTGAAGAGAAGGAATGTGAAAATGAGAGTACTTTACCGGTTAAACGGAGGAGCGAAATTCTACGACGGCAGGCTATGAATGACAAGGATCTGGGGGATCGGCCTTGATTACTGTGCACCAGGTGCGTTTTTTATCATCAAACCGAATGTACTAGAAAAGTTAGATTGGGTCCGTTAATGGGCCGGGCCACTTCCCCCATTTGGCCTCCATCTTGTCGAAATGAAAATAGATAGGATAATATATATTTTTTTTAAACTGAATTATTTAAAAAAGAAAGGAAAAATTATTGAGTTACCTATAATATTATTTTATAAAAATTTGTGTGATTGAAAGTAGAAGATTAAAAAATAATAATTTAATCAAATTAAAACATAGACTATGTTTACATAGTATATTGTGTTGCACACAGTTCACCATTTATTTTCATCTTCTCACATAATGTATAATAAAAACCTAACCCTAGACGAAGGTCATACGACTGGAATGGTGATGGATTCAAAAAGTGGCAAGGGGTCTGTATAGAAGGAACTCATAGTTTCTCAGTAATAGAATAACACACATTTTGTCGTTTATTTTCATCAATACTTGTAAAATTCAATGCTAAACTATCACCTCTATTGCCACAACCACTCACAATATTCATTGTTACACCTTTTCATTATTGTCGCCGCCACCCCCACTTTGTAATATTTATTGTAATAGAACTACATTTACCCGTTCTTGTACAATTTCATGTTACACTCGCCACTAGGATCACCTCATTACACTATGGCACCGCCACTGGATCTGAACAGGATTTGCCCTGGCCCAAGGCATATTAGGCAATGTCCTAGGACCTCAACATTCTGTAGGCCCCCAAAACAAAATATATATATCATCCTATCATAAATTGGGTGTGATTTTTTATTGAACTTATTTTTTCTTATTGAAGCTATATATTGTTTACTATTTTATAGATGTGCTGAAAATTATTATGGTAATTTACGATTTTTAGTATGCATACTGGAACAACTTCGTCTTTCAAGTTCTGTACCCTATTCCTTTTTCTTGGGAAGAGCTGTGTGTTTTCTATATATACCCAATGGCGGATTTAGCACCTGGCGAGCACACGCGGCCGCGCGTGCTGGATCCGTCGACAGCCATTTTTTTTGTTGACAACAGATACATTTTTTAGATTATATTTCTGATAATGCATTTTAAAATTAAATGTTGCTTCTAGCTAAGTTGGGTGGACCGGCTTTTTATGTTTTGCAAGTCGCGGGTTCAATTCCTTTTACAACCAATTTACTGTATGATTTTTTATTTTTTTCACTTCTACAATTTTTACCAAAAATAAATGGCAAATTAGTGGAATAAGGAAGAGGGGATTCGAACTTGGCACTTTTGTTAGGATTATTAAAGGGTTGACGACTATGGCACTTATTGATTTGTGGTAATAAAGTTAACAAATTTATATATATTAATTTTAGTGGTTATGCAATTGTACACATTTGAACCCGAGCTCTTCCTTCGAATTATATAAAACTTGGCAACAATATCATTTAGTAAATATGATTCATTCTTATAATAAAATTATATATGTTCAATTTCAACAAAATAATTGTTATAGTTAAATTTTAGGTCTTGTTTGATTCCTATTTATTTCAAAATGTATTTATCTCTATTTTATTTTCAACCATATATTCTTCAATAAAATAATATTACATGTAAATTCAGAACTTTTCCTTATTTTTAACCAATTATTCTTCATCAAATCACTATTTCAAAATGCATTTTTTACAAATAAAAAAAAAAGACATCAAACGAGTTCTTAATATTTTATTGCAGTCGACAATGAACGACCGTCCATGCTGACTCAAAATCTTGGATTCGCCACTGTATATACCTGCAAATCCTAACAAAGACATGTGAGGATGATATCCTACAATTTTTTCTTTTGTATCTGCATGGTCAATTAGAATTCTGGGGGTATGGAATTAATTGTCTTGTGGTCATGTATGTGTACATCTGTGTGTTTGTATCTCACAAGGTTGTGGCCTTTTGAACTAATTCATATTGATTACGACTTTGATTATTTAACACTGCATATTTTTGTCCTCTCCCACTCTCCCATTTTGTTGAATATTGAGTGTATTTTTTATTGGAATTCTGTTATAATATTCAATGTTTAACGAACAATTGAACAATGATTCGATCATTTTCTATGATTTATTAACGTGCATATGTGTAAGAATGAGTCGTTAAAGATGAAGTAAAAATTTGTGGCTTATGTTAAACATATTTATAAATTTTACCCAAAAACTATAAAATCCATGAAAATCTTTTAAAATCTACAAAATAGAAATCCATTCAAATCTTATTAAATTGATTAAATTCTATCAAATTTTATACAATTCATGAGAATTTATAAATATTAGGAAATCTATTAAACTCTGAAATGAGGAACCGTAAATAATATTTTATCTCAAACTCAAAAAA